TCGCGTCTGTTTTTTATTTGTATTTACTATTGATCGACACTCCGCAGGGTAAAATCGCGGACAGTTTTTCGTATAGAACCGTACGAATTAATCGAATATGGATTATCTTCGTCGAATGAACAACATAATATATTATATTTATATTATAAACGTGCATAAATATTATTTGTACGTTTCATACGTGCACATTGGAGTACATATCGTTGACATTTGACTGATAACCGACGAGAACGCAGTAGATAAAACATAAACGTCAATGCGTATCATGCGCATTAGTCGGAAAATAACTCGATCACGCGTAGGCTTTTAATCAGCTCAACATTTTCGCGTCCGATTTCATCGCCATGGCAACGAGTAAACGAATAACTAATTAAAACACGTACCCATATGCAAATCATACCCATACAGCTTTACGTCTACTCTATTGTTGTCGAACGGTTCACGATCTGTAGTGCTATTAAATAACGTTTATGATTTGTAAATTATATTTATACGGTATACGCGCGCACGAAGTGAATCAAGAACCGCTCGCGCGTAAAAACGGAAGAAAATATAATAAAAATAAATAAGAGAATAACGCACGCCCCGAGAGTACACATAATATATACCGGGGGTGGCCAGCTTGGGGCTCGCGATTTTTGGGTATAGATTTAGAAAAAAAACTATCAAATCGTTTCAAAATTTATCTAAAAACATTTCGGCTTTTGGAATTATTCTATTTATTCATGTGGTCAGGAAATCTGTTCATGTTGGTCACTCCTGAACAAAAAGCATTATGCTCGCGTTGGACCCTGTTATTATGTTTACAGTATTATTTGAAACACGCAGTTTGCTAGAAGTACAGTTTTTACGATAGTGTAAATTGTCGAAACCCTAAAAAATTCAAACGATTATTCATAATTTACCATTTATAGGTACAATGTACTTTAATACGCAGCAATTCGTAAGATGTTTATTTTTCAATTCATATCAAACATATATGTATATTCATGGGCGTCGCGAGAGGGGAGCAAGGGGGTGTACTTGCACCCCCCCTGTGGATTTAAAAATAAAAGAATACAATTTAAAAATGTGGGATAGAGGTTATTATATAATTATTATTGAATTTTCTGGTCATTACTTCGTAGCCGTCGAAAACACGAAAATAAATTTGTATTGTTATATAATTTAAAAACTTTAATTTAAGCATTATTCAGAAATCAGCGTAGGTACATCTATGCATGATGAGTTGCAATATTTAAATTTTATACATTAAACAAAATTGTAAGATCAGATTGTTGCAAATAAATATATTATGTGTTATTACGTGTTGATATTATGATGTAAGCAAGGCCGTCTTAGGCTGTGCACGGGCCCAAAGGCACCCGGAGTTTAGGTTAACTTAGATGATTCCCCTTACATGTCACAATTGTGATTAATCACGCAAATTTAAGAAAATGTTGAAAAAACATTTCAGAAATATTCCGTCGATGTGTGCATCCGTATAAAACTATCGACCGGCATTTGAATTTGAATTTCGGTGTGTTGATGAGGCGACGTCGCGACGTAACTGCGATGCGCAAGTGCGTTACGATAACCCGGTGGATTTCTCGACGAAAATCAACGGATGGTTCGATTGTCGCGGAAGTATGTCAACTGCGTCGACCACAGATTATCGCTCCGAACACGTGGACAATAGCTACACCCGGATAGGCGATTCGAGTGCATCAAATTATAACGTATAACGATTAATATGTCCGTTTATTGCAAATCGCATGTACTCGTCTTACATATACATACGCGACACACTATTTTTAATTATAAAAAATATGTATATTTATGAATTTATGTATGAATACGGTATACATATGACTAATATGTACGGTCACGAAGTACAATTTTAACGAATTATAACTTAACCTAACGTAACGATACGTAGCTACTACATAATAAAAAAATTGATGTTCAAAGTCAACGGATAACATCCGAACGATAAGGTCATTAAATTGAAATAAATAAATTATTTAGACCATAGGGATTTTACAAACATTTGTTTGCCACCATCTTCATTCTTTTCGGTTGTGTCTTTTTTTTCTCCTCCCGTATTGAATGAACTAAAATATGATACACCATCGGACCGCAAAGGGCAACTGTAGGATCATTGATACGCAAGACATTCGATTAAATGCTCGTGTAACACAGAACACAGAGACGAGAGAACACACGAATGCAACTATGCACGCGCAGTCATCTACTGGTTTATGCCGATTTTACGGATAAAAGCATATAAAATGGAATTAAATAAATAACAATATAAACAAAATTGTATTTGTTCATTTTAATATGAAAGATAAAATGGAATTTACGGAACAATACCGTCCTTTCATTATTTCGTGCTGTTAAATATTTCCAATACTTTTCATTTTATTTGACGAATGTATGTCACATAACGTATAATAATTGAAAATAAATAATAATGTTGACATAACATTTTGCAATCATTACCGCGATGAATAATTACAAAGCGAACAGAATATATTATCGTATTGTATTTCGCGATAACAGACAATACGCGTTATGTTCGATCGCGGACACGTAAACAATTCGGGAACCAATTTATCCAGAATATAACTACACGGATAATAATATAGTTATTACGAATACCTCGGAAAGTGCACGTTCGTTCCATTACGTTTTGAACGAATACGATTAAACAATTAAATAACAAATCTGTTTATCGCGATACGGTGACGAAACAGTAATAACACGTTCGTAGTAGATAAATCTGTACGCACGTGCAGATACATCGAAGGAAACCTAGTTACAATAGCCGTGTATACTATAAGAACTCGTACTGTTGTGTGTAGTAACGTATTGATCGTTAAACAGTTGTAGCCTACGCAGTGGCGGATCCAGAATTTTTTTTATTTGGGGGGGGGGGGGAAATTTGAAAAATGTTCCCTTGGGATATTTTTTTATAACATTGTAGTCAGTGATTGATAATGAATTAAGATAATAGTAAGTAATATAATACACTGATATAAATCTAAGACTTCTAATTTCTTGTATGAATAAAAATATAAATTATATACTTTCTCCCTAAATACTTAAAAAAAAAAAAAAATATTTTTCTTAATCCATAAAATAATTGATTTTTAATATATTTTTTTCCTGATTTTAAGGGGACTTTAACCCCCCCCCCCCCCGTGGATCCGCCAATGAACTTACGTTTCAATAACCATAGGATTTAAATGATTTACAACGAACGATTACGATGGACAAACTGAAACGCGTACAATGCGTGGTGCATGTACGTTTATTAAATAGGCGCGAGGATTTAAATATCCTGAAAACCATGAAAAGTTTTCTAAAAATAATAAAAAAAATGACATACATTTTTTTTTTTTGTATTCAAGGTCTGTTCTATTTGGTACTGTAATTAAAAAAAAACACTTTAGATAATATTATTATAAATTGAAATTATTAAACCGCACGCAACGAATAATAAATATGCATTTATAACTGACGAGAGGACCGAAAATGTTAAAAAAAACGCCTCTGAAACAAAAACAAAGATCGTAAATAAAGGTTTGACGTATCTGTTGGTGAAACGAATCGTGTAAGCTTGGAAAGCATTGGCTAGAAGTAAAAATATACGATCCGTATGGGTAAACCGCAACTGATATAATATGTTTATTAGACGTTTTCGAGTGGTCTATATATCTACGTGGGGCGCGATTGTAAAACAATAAAATGTGACTGTGCAATATTTATTTATGCTGCGTTCGAGGCAATAACAACAATAATATTATAACGGGTGTACGCGTAATATCGTACACGATGGTTTAAAAAAACGTTTCATAACGAACGGTTGACGGATGCGATAGCGAAGTGACGACACGCGGTCGGTCCCGCCAATAAGTCAGCACTTGAAAACGTACATACGCAACGTAGAAAGAACGAACAACGCGTGCGCGTACTGTAAAAAAAAACGCCTACACGTATACCTGCACCGGTGGATCTACATAGGTGTGTACGTTAAACAATAACGACAGACATATTGTTGTTTATTTTTCTTATTTTTTCCGTGAAGATTATTATATTTTCGTCGGACGAAACGTTAAAACTTTTATAGCGTCTGTGCAGGTATTGGGTCTGGGAAAAATTGTTGAATGTTGTTCAGGAGTCACCGTACGGTTACTGCGTACACGTTAGAATCGATTTGTTCGGATTCCGATACCCACCGGTACACGTGCGCGCGGAAAAGTAAAGAAAAAATAAATAAAAAACGGTGACGGCGGCGGACGTACCGCCGGGGGACGACCACTCGGACGGGCCAGAAAATGGCGACGGCGACGTGCGTGGAAAAGGGTTGAAACGACGTGCGCGCGGTGGCGTACGGCCGGCAGCATGCCGCGGCGGTGGGGAACGGCGCGTGCGGGGGGGAGGTCAGCGGACGGTCAGCCGTGCCGAAAGGATTGGTCAGTGGGAGTGGTGACCGGTTGCCGTGACGATCGCATTACGCGCGCCGCCGCCGCGTGGCGCCCGTCAGCGGCGTACCGGGTAACTACTGCCGTACCGTACCCGGCCGGTTAGGGATGCCCAACGGTCCGCCGCCGGTACCACCACCTGCCCTCCTCGTCGTCCTTCGCCGCCCCGCTCCCGTACCCGGCGACGAGACGACGGTGGCCGTCGTTGCCGGCACTGCCGCCGTCGTCGTCCCGGT